ATTAGTGTTTCTAAAAATCCAGTGCTATCTTTCTCTAGTCTTATCTTTTAACAGCCATCCTCTTTCATTATGGATTCGTCCCCTTAAGAGGGTTAAGTACTCGTAGTTTTCCAATAAAGATCTTGGAAAGTACGTTCAAGAGTAGCTTATTTTAACATTAATCACATTTAACAAGACTTTTACCAGAGCGGAGAGAACGCGTAACTAATTGTTGGAAGATCTGGTCAAGTTTATTGTAATGGGTAACTGTCGGGCAATTATGATTTATTTATTCTCAGGGAGATAAGGCACGCATTGTTCTCTGCAAGAAGGAAAAAAAAAAAAAAAAGAAGAAAAAAAAAAAAAAGAGAGAGAGAAAAAACAACAGGGCTGATCTTAAAGTTAATATTAGTTACTTCCCATGCTCTTTTCACAGCTGAGGGGACCCACTGGAGCACAGACCCCATTCGCTGTCTTCACTCCCGATTTCTGGGTTTAAGCCGTCCCTGGGGGCAGCCGGGGAGGCCGTGCAGGTGCGCCCCCTCCTCTGCTTTTGGGGCTGCTGCCGGGGGGCGACACCGGGCAGGGTCACCGAACCGCGCTGCCCGGCAGCCCCAGGCAAGGAGGGGGTCTTTTAAATCTGGTGGTCAAAAAAATAAAAATTTAAAAAAAAAAAAAAGGGAAAAGAAGCGCCCCGTTATTGTCGTACCCTTCTATCCCCGCCCGCCCTGCTGTCGGGGCGGCTTTACCCCCGCCTTTCCCCGGAGCCCTGCGGCTCCAAACAGCCCAAGCGAGGATGAGAAAGGGAAAAATAATTATAAACCACCACGAAATGTGCCATGTGCCCATGCCCTGACATCGCCCCGGCGCGGCGGCTCCTTCCCGGGCTGCCCCCTCCGAGCCCCCCCGGCCGCACCGATGGGGCTGGGCAGATGCCACCGGCACCGCCACGGGGCCCAGCCGGCTCGGCTCGGCTCGGCTCGGCTCGGCTCGGCTCGGCTTGGCCCGGCTCGGCTTGGCCCGGCTCGGCAGCCCCGTCCCCTTTACCCGTCCCCCATCCCCGCCGCCCCGACGGCTGGGCTGCGGCCGCCGCTCCCAAAGTTTTATTCGGCCCCTCGCTGCTCACCTGGTGCAGTAAAGGTCAGAGCTCAGAGAAAATGACTCCTACTTCCAGCAAATGTGGCTCACCGACTTACTCAGCCGGAAGAAAGAGCTGCACCACCTCGTTTACACGCACTCTTTTAAATCGGTTTCTAAGACATTTGGTGTGGACGGAGCACAAGGATGCACCTTACACGCTGCAGTCCGACAGCCAGCCTGAGACGGTGGCTCAGATGCTCCGTGTCCAACTCCCCAGCACGGGGAAAGTTACAGATTAATTAATTTATTCTTCTCAGCTCGGAACTTGAAACCCTTCTCTCCAAATTTCAGCCCTTCGCCATCTGGCAAAGTTTTTCCCAAACGGTTTTACATTTAATCGGAAAGCGTTCGAGTCGTGGTTTTAAACCGCCCCGCAGCTCTGCCTTTATTTCTTGTCGGGCAAAATCGAGTCGAATCGAACCGGTTTCACCGATACGAAGCCGGAGCCCCGGGGGAAGCTCCGGGCCGTGCCCCCTGCTCCGGGACCCCCCCGGGGCGAGCGCCCCGCCGGGAGCTCCCCCACCGCTGCCACCCCGAGACCTCGCGGGCGGTTTCGGGGGGGCGAGACCGACCCCTGCTGCCCCCTCTTGCCCCCCCCTCCCCATCCACAGAGGGCTCCAGACAAGCAAATATCAGCGCCGGCTCGGCGGGCAGAGCTCCTACCTCCGCTTAGGCACTTGTTAGCGCTGCCTCGGACCTGACTCGACGGGGAGGGAGAGGAGCAGCGCTTGCTAATATTCCCTGTAAACCACCGTGAGATTCACTCTCTTAATCCCGGCGTGGCCTCGAGACCCCCGGGGGCGGTATGAAGGGAGCCGGGGGGGCATCTCCGAGCCCCCCGAGCTTCCCCGCGGCCGCACCGTCGGTGCCCCGGGCAGCGCCGCTCCCCCGACGGGCCCAAGCCGGGGGCCCCCCGCACCCACGGCCCTCCAAGCAGAGAGGGGAGGGGATGAGGAGCCCTCTTGTAAAGCTCCCGGCCGTCGGAGCCCTCAAGATAAACATCATTAGAAATCATTGTAATTGGGATTGTGAAATCTGACCTCTGACCCGCCGGGCTACGTGTCACAACCGTGTCCGCTTTGATTCCTCGAAAGGCGGCACAAAGGAACAAGCTCCGTGACAGGAGGCAGCGGGATCTGCGCCCCGGCCCGAGGGGACCGACGGGGGGGACCACGCGTGGCCTCCCCCCCCACCCGGTCTCATCTGTATATGCAAAGCAGCGGGGCGGGGGAGCCGGACGGCTTGGGGGGAGGGCGAGTGGGCCGGGGTCCTGGGAGGGGAGAGAAAGGAGTTTCTGGGGGTCCCTCCACGTGGAGGGAGGTGGTCGGGGTGGGGGGGGCGCCTGCTGGCCGTTGGCTGCGGTCACACCCCCACCGCTGCTCCGCAGAGTTGGGGAGGGGGGAACTGACCCTAATTTCCGACGGCAGGACGGGAAGGGCACTCTGCTTTTCCTCCAGGGCTTTTCCGCCCGGGCTTGTACTTTCCCCTATGTGAGGCTTGGGTTTCCCCGGGGCAGGGCGTCCCGTCCGCCCCGTCCAGCCCCCAACCCGCACACCTGCTCCCTGTCCGAAGGGGAGGGCGATGTGGTTCCTGCCCTCAGTCCCTGGCCCCTACCCAGCAGGGAAGGCACCCTCGCCCCCTCCCCGGCTGCCCACCCCCCCGTGGCTGCCTGCCAAGGGGGTCGGGGGTCGCTCCCGGAGCCTTCTGTCCCCCATGAGACCAGACCTGGGCCATGCCGCCTGGTTCCCCTGGTCCGCTCCGCCCGGCTACGCTCGCAGAGAAACCCTAAAAGCATAATTACATTAAAAAGCCTGATTTGCTTAAATAATCCTCTTTAGGCTGCCTTTAATCTGCTCTATATTCCCCTCGTCGTCTTTATCCTTGCCTTGTCCGGCTCTGCTGAGCCCGACCCCGAGCCCCGGAGCCTTTCCCCGGCTGCAGGTAGGAGTGGGATGGGGCGGGGGCTGGCGGGGCAGGGGGAGGCCGGGTCCCCCCACCCTTAATGTCACCCATAGGTGCTGAGAGGGGAAATCAACACAGGGCCGGCTCTCGTAGCTGCACCAAAACATCTTGTGGCCGCAACTCCAGAGCCCCCCCGGGTGTGTCCTCACCCCAGTTTTCCGCAGAAATGACATTTTTGCCTCTACAGCTCCAGGGAAGTGAGAGGTGGGGGTCAGAGCTGAGAAAGGCAGCGAACTGAATTGAAAGGGGCGCTGGGAGGGGGGCGCAGCCCCTCCGCATCCCCCCCCCCGGCGGCAGCAAGTGAGGGGGCCGGGGGTCATCTGCCTCTGGACGTGCCCGGCGGTGGGGCCGGCACGTCGAAGGAGGGTTTCTTTTCCTGCGGGCAGAAGCTTTAAGTTTACGTTTCGATTCCAGAGGAAAAGAGAGAGGGAGAAAGAAGCGAAGAACTTTAGATGGCGCTCTACGACGTTTCTTTAAAGCCTCCGAGCCCTGCCGGCTCTCCGGCCTGCCGAAACCTCGGCGGGCAGAGGAGGGGGCTGGGCGGGGCTGGGGGGGATGCTGGGGTAGGGGGGGTGCCGTCGGGGGGGAATGGCGTGGGGGGTGGGGGGGAGATGCCGTGGGGCAGCGTGGGGTGGAGCAGGGGGTGCGGGTGAGGAGGGAGGGGGGGTCCCTCCAGGCAGGGCAGCCCCGGCCTGAGCCTCCAGCCGGGCTGTGGGGCGGCGGCGCTGAGCAGAAATAGTTGTGGGTGTTTTTTATATTAAGAAAAACATCAAATAAAAATCTCACAGGCCTCTTCTCCGCTGCCCCGCTGCTCCACTTCCCCAAGCCTAGGGAGAAAGCCCCTGAAACCTCCGACAGGGTGAGGCCGGGGGGAGCCGCGTACCCGTCGGGAGCTGCCGCTCACCTACCCCGGCCGTTGGGGGGCTGCAGAAGAGGGGCTCCGGCCTCGGCTTCTCGCCCTGACCCCAGCTCTCCCCATTTCCCCGGGCTTCGGGGGAGAGCTCCAGAGGGGCGGAAAGAAAATGAGAAGCCACGACGAGCCGACAGACAGCCCCGTCGGGTGTCGCGGCTCCGTCTGCCCCACAGCTCAGGCACCGCGGAGGCCTCGCCCGGTGTCGGCCGCGGGTGAGCGGACTCCGAGAGTCCCCCCCGGCCAGCCGCGACCCCGTGGGGCTCCCACGAGAGACATTCGTGGGGCGCGGGGCCGACCCTCGACGGCCGAGGACAAAGCGGCGGGCGCGGAGGCACGGCCCGGCTTGGCCCGCCGGAGCCCGGCGAGAAACCGAAGCGAAACGGGGCCGAGAGCCGGAAAGGAGCCGGGGGGGCAACTTAATGCCACCGGCATCACCCCCCCGGCCCTCAGCGAGGCAGGGACAGGGAGCCGGGAGCGGCCTCGGGGAGCCGTGCCCAGCCTCCGGCCTCCCCGAGCTGCCCGGGGAAGGCTCCGCGGTGGAAATTCAAGATGGGAGCAGAGGAGGTGTCACGCAGATCCCTTCTCAACACATCCCCGAGAGCGGAACGGCCGCACGGCTTTCAGGCTTTTTTTTCCTGCAGAGCCTGGCGATATATTGCCGCGTATATCACACCGCGGGGGGGGATTTCTTGGTGAAAAGGGAGACGCGGGAGGCGAGGCACGACCGAAATAACCAAAGAGATTTAAAAAAATAAAAATAAAAAAGGTAGGAAAAAAAGGGGGGGAGAAATATCGAAGGTCTCGGAAGGGTTTAAAGAAGGGGACGATCGGTTTAAAAATTGCTGCACTGATCCATCGAAAACAAAAACTAATTACGCCACTGAAATGGCACCATATACGCAGCGTACTGTGTATGTACATATATATTTATTTTATCTGTATATATATATATATATATACACACAAACATCCATACACTAAAATAAAGAATTACAGCCAGCCTGGATCCTGAACACAGTCTACACTTTATTTCAGACTACAGATTTCTGAACATAATAAAATCTTTGGCTTGTAGCGGCGGGTTCAGTCTCGCAGTCTGTGGATCAGATTTTTTTTTTTTCCTCGGGAAAAAAAAATAAAAAGAGAGACAGAAATTCACACACACACAAACAAAAAATAAGATCGAACGAAAGATCAGGAAAGTCGGACATTTACTGTAAAGCAAGAGCAACGGACATCGGAAAAGAAAAAAGGAAAGCAAACAAAACGAACAAACGAACAAAAGAGAGAGGAAGAGAGAGAGAGAAGGGGAGAGAGAAACTGTCCAGCAAATAGAGATCGCTACACATATTTCTTACCTGAAATTAAATATATACAAGGTCATATGCTGTTTGGCTATATAGAGATAATTTTTTTTTTTTGTAAGCGTTCATATTTTTTTTTCTTAAGTGGAGTCCTTATACTATGGATAGACAATAGATCTGCTTTTAAATAGCACCTGTCCGTGGCTAGGGCTGTCCTCACTCGCTCTCCTCTTTGTCCTGCACGGTGGTGGTGGAGTGGTTGTAGAGTCCCTGGGCCATGAGGTGCAGCGCCAGCCCGTTCTTGATGCCCGTCGCCTTCTTGATCTTGGCGCGCTTGTTCTGGAACCAGATCTTGATCTGGGACTCGTTGAGGCTCAGCTCCTGGGCCAGGCTCTGCCGCCGCTGCTCCGTGATGTACCGGTTGGCCTGGAACTCCGCCTTCAGCCGCTGCAGCTGCTCGGCCGTGAACGCCGTCCGCGGCCGCTTGTCCTCCTTCTCCGTCTTCTTCTTCTTCAGCTTCCTGGTGCGGGGGCCTGCGGGCAGGGCACACACACGCCGCTGGGCAGGGCCCCGCCGCCGCCCGCCGCCCGCCGCCCCCGCCCCGCCGCCCGACGGAAAATGGCCGACGGGGGGGGAACCGCGCCGGCACCCCCGGCCCGGCCCCGCCGCCCCGGCCCCGCCAAGGGGAAGAAAGGGAGAGGAGGAGCGGGGAGGCCCGGGGAAACGCGCCCATCTCCTGCAACGGGCAGGGGGCGAAGGGGGAGAGCCGCCCGCTAGCCCCTCGCCCCGGGCCCGTCGGGGCGCCGCGCTGCTCGCCCCGACGGGGGGGCTCCGAGGCTCCGGGGGGCGGCCGCCGTCCTGGGGCCGGGGTCCCCGCGGCCAGCCCCGGCAGCAGCCGGGGGTCGCCCGGGGCTCCGGTGTTTGCCCGGCCCTGGCGGGCCCCGCAAGCCGCCCGTTTGCCAGCCCTGCCCGCCGCGACCCCCGGACACCCAAACCCTAAGGGGATTCCTTCGCAGCCCCATCCCTCGGGGCGCGCTGGGGCCGGGTGCCGAGCCGTGTCGAGCCGTGCCGTGCCAGCATCCCGGCCCAGAGCAACGGCAGCCCCGGGAGCGGAGAGGGAAAGCGGCCCTGGAGGATGGGGGCTGCGAAAATCCCCTGACAGCTGCCGGGCCCGCAGCCCCCAGCCGGCTGCAGCAGCCGGAGCCCGGCGAGGCCTCCGAGTAGGCCGAAAGCTCTTGTCCCGGTTCAGCACGGCTTTGCCCCGGCTCGGCGGGGAGCGGGCCGGGGCCCAGCAGAGCTGGGGTCGGGGGAACGAGGCTGCCTGGGGCCGGCACCTTGCAGCGGGGGTCGCAGCCCCCGGCCCCCGCAGCCCGCTCGTCCCCGGGGCCGGGAGAAGCCCCGCGGCGGCCGGGGCAGGCTCCGAGCACAACAAAGAGCGCGGCTGAGCCGAGCCGAGCCGGGCCGGGCCGGGATGAACCGGGCCAAGCCGAGCAGCCCTGGGAACGAGCGGGGGGTTTAAGGGTCGGCGTGCAAAAAACACCCCGCTGCCCGAAGAAAAGGAAGGGAAGGAAATAAAGGCGCAATGCGAGATGCCTGGCGCCCGGCGGGCCTGGGAAGCGGTAATAACGAAGCAGCCGTGGCCGGGCCGGCCGGCGGCGAGGGCAGCCTGACAGCTCTATCACTCCATCAATCACCGGAGTCAATCAAAGGGGCTTTTCCGAGCTGCGAGTCGCTGGACGTGTCAATAACTGGGGATGGAGGTGGCTCGGCCGGGAGCGGAGCGCTGCCCACCGGCCCCGGGAGCACCGCGCCGGGCACCGCCGCCTTCCCCGGGTCCCCCGGCCTCGCATTGCCCGGGCCTTGGAAGAGGAACCGGCCCCGGTCCCCGTCCTGGACCCGGTCCCGGTCCCAATCCCAATCCCTGTCCTGGTCCCGGTCTCAATCCCGGTCCCGGTCCCGACCCGCGCTGGAGGGTCCTGGGCTGCTGGCCTGGGGTGTGACTGGGGGGTCCCCCTCTCCTCTCCTTCCGCTTTAAAAAATAAAACTAAAAAAAAATCTGACAATGGCAAACAGTGACCAGCGGGGACAAAACGAGGGGCTGCGGGGCCACGCCAAGGGGACGGAGCTCGCAGGGGTGCCCGGCCGGGAGCCCCCCCCCGGGCCAAGCCTCGACCCCTCCCAGTAGCGGGCAAGGAGCAGCGGCCCCCGCGGCCTATGGAGGCCGGAGGCCCCGAGAAGCAGCCCCTCGGCGACCTGCCCGAAGCCCCTTTTTCTCTCCCCCCCTCCCCATAAACCCCCTCTGCACCTCCAGCAGCCGCTCAACATGTGGCTCGGCCAGCCCCCCCCCCCGCCACCCAGTCGCCCCTCCGCGGCCACCGGCACCGGGGAAATAAAACCGGGGTGTGTTTGGGGGGGGGGGGAGAGAGAAAGAACAAAACAAGCGAGAAGCCAAATCCGCTGCCTTTTTTTTTTTCTTTTTTTCCCCTTTTCCCCGCAGCGCTCCCGGCCCAGCGCCGCCGCGGTGGGGACCCCCCCGGGCTGCAGCTGGGTGTGGGGGGGGGCGACCGGGGGCACGGGCAGGGGCTCGCAGCCCCTCTCCGCGTCTGAATGCGGCCGAATCGGGGCCCGGCGTCGCATTCAAATTCGGCGACTCGGAATAGGAAGGCGGAGGGGGTTTTGGGGAGGGGGGAAGAAGTGTGGGGGGGGGGGGACGGGGACGCGTTTCCTCTCGCCCCGGGTGACCCAGGACCCCCCCCCGCGCCGCCCCACGCGAGGTCCTCAGCAGGCTGGAAGCCAAAGCAAAGGGGAGGAGGGGGGGTGGGGGGGGACAGGGGAAGGAGAGGGGGGGGGGGAGCGACCTTGTCACGATTTTAACAGCTCCCAGATGCTCCGCGCTTCCTTACCCGAGGACGGTCTGTCTGAATACCTAGTGCAGTAGACCCAGGCAGGCCACACCAGCGGCTGTTGCGAGTCGGGCTTTATAACAGGTCCTCCATTATTAGAGCCCATGAGGAGGATGGCGGGGCTGCCGTGCTCCCCGTACTTGGCCGGGTGAGTGTCGCCCCCTTCGCCGGGGGGCTTGGCCGCCCCCGACGCCGCCACCCCCGCCGCGCCGGGGCTGGCTTTGGAAGCGGCGGCGGCGGCGGGCGGCGCGGCCGGGGAGCCGTCGGGCCCGCAGTTCGAGTCCGGGCACAGGAGGGCCGGCGGGTTGGGCGGCCGGGCCAGCAGCGGGTTGATGTTTTCTCTACCTGAGCTCTGCCCTCGGTCTCCATCCCGCTCCCGGCTGCTGCTGCTGCTTCCTCCTCCTCCTCCTCCTCCTCCTCCTCCTCCTCCGCCGCCGCCGCCGCTGCCGCAGCCGCCGGTCGGAGCGGGAGGCTCCTTCTTGCAGCCGAAGTCCGGCCTCAGGATGTTGTCGATGAAAAAGTTGGTGGTGCGCTGAGGGGGCGGCGGGGGAGGCGGCGGGGGGCGGCGGCGGGGAAGGGGCAAGGGGCAGGGGGCGGCGGGGGAGGCGGGCGCGGGGCTGGGGGACACGGGCAAGCTCTCGCCATCGCTGCCGCTGCCGCTGCTCGCCGGGCCGGGCGGCGCCGCGTCTCGGTGGCCGTGCCCCTCCGGCGGCTCTTCCATCCTCAGCCCCCGCCACGGAGCTCGCCGCCTTTTTGCCCCCCCCACCCTCCCCCCCACCCACCCGCTTTACGCCCACCCCACTTCGCGGGTGGGTGGTGGGGTGGGGAAAAAAATTTTTAAAATTTCAAAAAAAAAAAAAAAAAAAAAGAAGGCAAAAATTAAAAAAAAATAAAAGAGAGGAAAAAAAAAAAAAAAGAATAAAATCCACTTGTTGGGCTGGAGCTGAGATTTTTTTTTTCTCCCCCTCGCACGGATGGATCCAAAACCGGGAGAGCCACTCGAGGGCTTCTTCCCCCCTTTCTCCCGATCAGCTTATATTTCCATCACCAAAAAAAAAAAAAAAAAAAAAAAAAAAAAAGCACCAAAACCGCGTGCAGCCACACAGCGGCCCCCCAAAAACCCGCCCCCCGAAAAAAAAAATATTAATAAATAATAAAAGAAAGGACTCAAAATCTGCCCATCTCCCCGCGGCGGCTCCGCGCTGCCCCGGTGTCCGCCGCTCTCTGCCCGAGCCCTTCCCCGCCAGCGTGCTCGGGCTCCGGGAGGAGGAGGGGGGGGGGGCGCTTTTTCTTTTTTTTCTTTTTTTTTTTTTTCCCTTAATTTTTTTTTTTTGGCCCCAAAATAAAAAGGCAAATCTCTGACAGCTCCGGTCTTTGCAAGAAACTCTCCCTAAAAAATCCCTCGGCCCCACTTTTTGGGCTCGCACCGGAAGCACGTGAGGCGGCCCCGCACGTGGGGGCGGCCAATGGCGCTCCGCCGCCAACGCCGCCCCCCCCCCGCCCCGGAGCCGCGCCGCGACGGGGCGGGGGCGCCCGGGCTCCACGCGTATTTAGGGACACCCCCCCCACCCCGCTAACCTCCCCCCCCCCCATAACTTCAACCTCCCGGGATGAGCGCCTCTTCTGTCCCTTTGCTCGCACACCCCATAATAATAACACCCCCCCACACCCCAAAAATAATTCGCGGTGCTCATCTTCCTCCTGTTCATTTTTATTTTTATTTCTTGCTTAGGGAGGTGGGGGCAGTCCGGAGTGGAAACTTTTTTTTTTTTTTTTTTTTCTGGAGGAATTAAAATGAAAATAACACTAAATACTGGTAATCGCCGCGGCGCTGAGCCGGGCTGGGAGCCGCCGGGCTGGGCTGTTTCTTTATTCTTATTATTTCGGAAGAAGAAGCAGAGCAGCCGCCAGCTTGCAGCTGACTCCGGATCGCGTTGCCTCTCCTGTTTTCTAATGTTTGCTTGTTTGTTTGGGTTGGTTTGGTGCTTTTTTTTTTTTCTGATCTTTTTTTTTTTTTTTTTTCACCTGGTATTTTATTCTCCCCAGCACCTTGGGTAGTGTGCTGGGGCAAAAGGGAAATGTAAGGGTTTTGCGGGGTGGGGAGAGCCGGGGACTTTTTTGAAGACTGTTACAGGTTTCCAAAAAGTAATTTAGGGGAGGAGAAAGAGGAATAAAATAATGTTAAAAAGCACAAGTCCGAAGCGCAGGTTTTGCTTTCTCACCGCACAGGGCTCCCGGCTCCACTCCCCGCCGGCCACAGGCACCTGCTCGGGGCTGGAGCCGCGCCGGAGCCCGGGGCCGCTCCCCGGGGCTGGGGCAAGGCAGAGGCCGGACCCCGGACCCCCGGAGCTCCCCGGGAGTCCCCACGTTCCCCCCACGGCCACGGGTGGCGGGGAGGCCGCGGGGCTCCGCGCTGCTCCGCGGGGACGGCCCGGCGGCACGTGCCGCCGCCTATAGATCCTATACGTGAACGATGCTTTAGGGCTGCGTGCTCAGGCACCCACGGGTGGGCACCGGGAGAGCCACGCGTGATTTTTACCCGCCGAGTGGCCGCTGCGGCCGGCGGCGGCCGGGAGCATCGCTGGTGTCGAGAGCATCCCGGCGGCAGCGGCCGAGCGCGGAGCTCCGTTTTCTGGGGTTGTAGGGCACCGGGAGCTGGCTGTCACCGGGAGCTGGGGGTCACCGGGAGCCGAGGGTCACCGGGAAGCCGCTGTCACCGGGAGCCGGCTGTCACCGGGAGCCGAAGGAGCCAGCACCTCCCTCAGTCCGGCGGCCGCGGCTGTGCGCGCACACCTCCGAGGCACGCTCGGCTCTTTGCCGGACCGGGGAAACATTACCAAATTGTTACCTCCAGCCACACAATAATCTCCTAAAATAATAGCTGGCATAACGCAATCAGCCCTGGAATCAAGGGCTTCATCCGCAATTAAATGAATGTTAACACCCCCCCACCCCCACCCCCCCGCATTCACAATATCATATCATTTACTCGCACCGAAATTGGGTTTATTTATATTTAAGTTAGCAAAATTGAAATCTTTATCCCAAAAGCGAGCGTGGGTACTTAATTAAATTCTAATTAGGACACTATCAATATCCCATTTAGCCACGTAGCCTTTGTGAGCCGCGGTCCCTTTCAGAGCTGTAAATGGGGGCTCGCTGCCTTATCTCTCCTGCAAGAGACGCCTTGAGAAGGGCTGCAAAAGATAATTTATAGGTTTTAATTACTCTTCATTCCGCCTGATCAGCTTGGCGTTCATCACAGGACGGCGAATAAAACCTGGTCAAAAGCACTGTCACTATTCCCTGGCAAGACGCTTAATCAAAGTAAGCAGGGCCATATTACACGCTGCGAGCTTCTTCACGTAATTTCCCAGCTGCTGATAAAGCTAGTTGAATAATGCTGCAGTCCTTCGGAGACACCATTTACAGAAATGACTTTATTGACGGCTTAACGTCGGTAATTCATTTTACCTTTCATGTATTGGGAGCCCGGATTTGTTACAGTAATAGGATGATAAATGTCCTGGCGGCCCTATAGCTTTTATTATTGAATACAATACACACACCCATCCTTAAATGTTCCAAAATTGGGTAACAAAAGGGAGAGAGAGAGAAATCGAAGCCTTTAACTATTTAATTTGCCTTTCTGAGCGCAGGGGGGTCGAAGCGAGTGTGTGAGTGTGTACGTGTGCGTGTGTGTGTGAAGGGGGGGTTATTTCATCTGGAGTCCTCCCTTCGTCTAGAAACTGTTCTGGATTTTAAAGGCTTCTCTATAAATTGAGTAGGTTTGTGTATGGAGGGGGTGGGGGATCGCCTGGATGAATGAGGAGGGGTTAAAGGAAAAGACGAAGTATATTTCCAGGCTGGGTATTTTTTCCACCACGACCCTTCCTATCTAAATAGATAGATAAATATTACACTCCGGCTAGCAGATAGTTACAGTAATCGGGGTAATATGTCTACATCGTGTCTTAAGGACGGCAGCTTCAAAAAAATAAATAAAATAAAAAACTGGTTAAGAAAAAGTTTCCTCCGCAACTCGTGGGTGCCCGGTCCCCCCTCGGAAGTGCCCTGATGCCGTTTGAGCCTTTCTTTCCCCACCGTCCCGTGACCCTGGCAAGGAGAAAATCAAACCTGGGCGAGGGATTGAGCTCTGCCTGCGGCCGTGGGGATGCGGGGATGCGGGGTGCGGATGCAGAATGCGGGGTGCCCGCCGTCGGGTCGCGGGGAGGGCTCCCGCATCGCTCCCGCAGCCCCAAACCAGCCCGCGGTGCCCGCAGCCTCCTCGGGAACGGGACGAAATCAGCGCTCCGATTTCGTTTTATTTAGCTTTTTTTTTCTTTTCTCTTTTTTTTCCTTTCTTTCCTTCTTTGCTTTTTTTTTTTTTTTTTTTTTTTTTCTTCTTTCTGGGGAAGGCCGGTGGAGGAAACAGGGATTTAAATGAAAATTAAAATCGGATCAAAAATCCTTTGCATTTTTTTTTCTTCCTCGACGCCCTTATAGAAAGGAGGAAGTATAGAAACGTGGTTAATATACGCTGTGGTAATCCTATTTCTAGGTCTAGATCAGATCTCATTGGGGCCTTTGCTGAAGGACATAAATGAGTTGTTCTAATACAATAGATTTCATCCTTCCTACAGGGACCGGCTGACCAGAGGTTTTGTTAAAAGTGAATGCGAATAGATTTCTGCTACAAGTGCAGCATTATTATTATGAGCTGTAAGGTCAGACTATACATTCCGGGTCCCCAAAGCCTATAGACCCTGGGAAATGCGCGGGATATACCACGTCATTGTACCTGACAGTCTCTTCAATAGACTAATTCAATTATCGCTTGGGGATTCAGTCTTCATTGAAAGCAATAATAGCAGTGTAATTCGTTGGTAAATAGGTAGTGGAAGCAGCCCCGCTCGCAACTTTTTTTGCGGGGCACAGGTTTATATCTCCGGGCTTCAAAATCTCTCTCTGCACCGGAGCGGGGAAGGAGAAAGGGGAGGTTTTGATTTTGGAGGAGGGCCGGGGAAAGCCCGGCGGTGACGGCCGGAGCCCCGCAGCCCGGCCCGGGAAGCTCCGGGGCGCAGCCGGGGTTGGGTCCGCGCGTCCCCGCGGGCGGCTGCGAGACAGACACCGCCGGGACCACCCCACCCCAGCAATGCCGCCCGGCTTTCGGGACTCGGGAACTTCAGGGGAAAATTTGGGTTTCTTTTATTTTCTTTTCCTTTTTCATTGTCTTTTCCCTCCTTCCTCAGAGGGGTCGGAGATTAAAATAGTCCGGTGAAGTTTCTGTGGAGGGGAGGGAAAACTGTCCTTCTTGTTGTTAGCGGTGTTATTGGTTTGTTTCTTTACGAAAAATAGAAAATAAAAAGAAAAAAAAAAAAGAAAGAAAAGAAACAAGAAAGAAAGGAAAAGGAAAAGGAGAAAGAAAAGGAAAAAAAAAAAGAAAAAGAAAAATAAAAGGAAGAGGAAAAAGAAGAAAAAATAAATGAAAAAGGAAAAGAAAAAGGAAAAGAAAAGGAAAAAAAAAGAAACAAGAAAAAGAAAAAGAAAAAGAAAAAGAAGGAAAATAGAAAAGGAAAAACGGAAAGGGGAAAGAAGAAAAGGGGAAAAAAAAGAGGAAGAAGAGGAAGAAGAAAAAGACAGAGAACCAGAAAAGACAGGAATAAAGGATAACCAAAGAAAAAAAAATAAAAAGAGAAAGAAAAGTAAAGAAGTTAAAAGAAAAACTAAGAGGGAAAAAAAAGAGAGAGAAAAATAGAGAAGGAAAAAAAAGAAAAGAGTAGACAAGACTAGAGAGGGAAAAATAAAAGAAAGGGAGAAGAGGAAAGAGAAAAGAGGAAAAAAAGGAGAGAGAAGAGAGAGGGAAGAGAGAGGGAAGAGAGAGAGGAAGAAAGAAAAGAAAGAAAAGAAAAGAAAAGAAAAGAAAAGAAAAGAAAGAAAAGAAAAGAAAAGAAAAGAAAGAAAGAAAAGAAAAGAAAAGAAAAGAAAAGAAAAGAAAAGAAAAGAAAAGAAAAGAAAAGAAAGAAAGAAAAAGAAAAACAGAGAGAAGGAAAGAAAGGGAAGAAGAAAGGAGGGAGAAGAGCTCGCTGCTTCCCAGTGGCCTGGCTGCAAAGCCCCTTCCCATCTGCTTCCCAAGCCCCCCCGCCTCCCACCCACCTCTGCAGCCCCCCCTACCTCGCTGCGAGCAGCACAAGTCACCTGGATCGGCTGCCTTAAAAAGTGCCGGCTCCCGGGGCCGTTCCTCTGGAGCTGCCCGGGGCAGGAACGCACCGGAGAAGGGCAGCGACATCCTCCCGACGGGCGAGCGGTCCGAGCGGCTCCCTGCAGCCCCAGCTGCCTCCCTGACAATCTGGTTTAAGTTACGGGGGATGTTTCCGAGGGCTGCCTCACCCCACTTCGGGTCAGATCCTCCCGTCCCCTCGCTAAATAGGCTACGAACGGGG